GTGAGCAGTGTGTCAGCCTGGGCAAGGTGTATCAGCCTGGGCAAGGTGTGTCAGCGTGAGCAGGTGTGCTGATGGAGCCTGGAAGGTGGCGGCAGGGCAGGCGCCTTGGGCCACGCTCTGGCAGGGAGGTGGGAGCGAGTGTGGACGCAGCTCGCACCACCGGCCCCCTGGGGAAGAGCTGGCCAAGGGCCCCGAGGCAGGGCTGGCATGCGGCCCAGAGGTCAGCATGCTGGAAACTTTGGGGATCCGGGCTGGAGTATCAGAGGACGAGGCTGGGTGTGGGCCTGTGCGGTGGGATCTTGCGGCGCCAGGAGTGGTTTCAGCGGGGCGTGGGCCCCGTTGGCAGTTATCGCTGCACTGTAACTAGGTGGTGATTTCATTGATCCATCATTTAAAAGAAGAAGAAGAACACTAGCAGCTCTGGGGAAATCTGACAAAGGAGAGGCCCAGGGAGCCCGCTAGTAAGTCAAACCAGCACCGGGCCTGGGCGCGGGGAGATAGGGCGGGACTCGGTTGGGAATTGGACGGCAGCTGGAATGGCGGAGGTCCGAGCCCGACACACAACCTTGGGAGAGATCCTGAGCACGCGCTGTCACCAGAGCAAGCAGACGCAGTTCTGGGAGGGGCCAGGGGCCACCGCCTGGCTGGCCCGGCCCTGGCCTTACAGGAGGGCGCTCTGGAAGCCTCAAGAGGGGCCATTTCGGGGCGGCCGGGAGCGGACAGCAACAGGGGGCCGGGGGCGGCGAGGCGTCCTGCTCCCGGGCCGCTTCTCTAGCTGCTTGCGGGGGACCCCGGGGGGCCGCCCCGCTGCGCCCGTGTCCTGGCCTGAGAGGAGGGCACAGGCCTCGGCTGGAAGGAGGCAGCGGCCCTGGCACCCGGCGGTCCTGCCAGGCCGCGCTGCTGCCCAGGGCGAAACTTCCAGACCGAGGGCTCCAGGGAGCCCGACTTGGCCTTGCAGAGCCTGGGGGTGTTGTCACCTTTTTTTTTTTTTTCCTTCTTAAAGCAATTTGAGGAAAGTCAAGGCCGGACCAGCAGTAAAACAGCCTTCTACCAGGCGCTGCAGAACTCTCTGGGCGGCGAGGGCGCGGGCGTGGGCGTGCAGGCAGCCGCCGCGTGGTACTACTCCCTGGAGCACTCCGAGGACGACTACACCACCTTCTCCAGGGCCCTGGAGAACGCCACCCGGTGGGTGAGGCGCCTGGCCAGGCCGCGTGGCTCCGTCACGCCCGAGCATGTCGGATGTCTGTTCTGCCTATGCTGTTGTCTGGGGCTCCCCACCATGGGGGAGCAAGGGGTGACCCAGCCTGCTCCCGGCTCCAGGGGGCACTGCCAAAGTGCTCCCCAGAGGCGCCTTGGTGGGCTCTGTGCCAAGAGCAGCCGCTGGGCAAAGCTCTGGAGCGCCGTGGGTCCTGCCCGCCCCAGCCAGCGGCTCACCCTGGCCTGACCCCACTTCCGCCAGCACCCCCTTCTCCGGTCTGCCTGGGAGACACACGGGAGCAGGCTTACCTGGGCCATGCAAAGGCCCAACAGCCTCAGTATTTGCCAAAGCTCCCCGGCGAGTGCAGAGTGCACCCCACACAGGGAAGCAGAGGTGGACGGTTTGGGGTGCCCAAAGCCACCCCAGCCAACCAGTGCTCCTGCTGTGGCTCATGCAATCGCTTGGGGTGCTGTGCTCACCGCCCGTGGGTCTTGTCCCCCTCCATGGCTCAGGCACCCTCCCTCGGGGACATCTGCCTCCGGCCCCGCCCCAAGAGCAGTTCTCGAGTGCCCCTCACCCCTGCGGGCTCTACTGTCCACAGAGTACCCCTCTCCCCCAGGGCCGTTCCCACAGTGCGCGGGGAGCAGTGTCCCCTCGCCCCCCGTGGCTGCGCAGGCCAGAACTGTTCCATGCCAGTGTGAGACTCGGGGCCCAGGAACGAGCATTCATAGGAGCGTCTGGGCAGGGCAGGGCTCTGTCGGCCTGCAGGCCCCGGGGCAGGAGACCACGTGGAGGGCGCTGCCAGCTCTGTCACCCGAAAGCTCCTTGCCATGCTCTGTTTCCCAGATGTGGTCCCCTCTGAGCAGGAAGAAGATGGGGCGCCTCCCACCCCTAACTCCCTCCCGCTACTGAGGTCTGGCGACACCAGCCTTTGCTCTGTCCCTGAGGATGCAGCTGGAAGGCCGTTGCCACCACAGCCCTGCCTGGTCTTCCCACCCAGGCATCGGTGGCTCCCCGCAGGGGTCACTAGCTCAGAATAGACTGCCCTCCTGCTGACATCTTGGGGCCAGTAAGGCTCCAGTTTCTCCGCAATGGAGAATTCAGCGTTGAAACAAACAGCCAACAGCTATTCCTGGAAGCTCAGCACTGCAGGGAGGCACCGTCACTCACAGATGTCCCAGCTCCGGGCCCTAGCGCCGAGACGAGGGGGCTGGCTCAGATCCCTGTTGAGGAAAGAGCTCAGGGTAGAGTCTAGAAAATCCGCCCATGTGCCCCCGCTCCGCCTGGACTGGCTCTGAGGGCTCTGACGTAGGAGCTGAGGTCTGCGGAATGGCAGATAACCAAGAAAGGCTTCATGGAGGAGGAGGTCTCCAGTCCTCCCTTAGCCCGGGTCCTCCTCTCCTCCAGGCAGACGGAGGCCTTGGCCTCCATAGGGCCGTGGTGTGTGGCTCTCCCTGCCCTGCTCACTTCTCACGACCCCCACACAGGCCCCAACCCACCTCCCAGCCTCTCCCACATGCACTTGAGCTGGGGTCTCCACCAGCAGAAAAGGGGGTGACACCGCTCCCCATTGAGTGACTTTCCCGGATATAACGCACTTAAGGATTATAACATCCCAGCAGAGAAGGCCCCCGTGGCCCCAAGGCTCAGATGTCGAGAGGGGGCATGCCAGGAGATGCAGGAGCTTGTGAGTGGCCCCAGGCCAGCCGACACCGGCAGGGATCCCCCACATGCCCAGCGCCCGCAAGCAGGACTCTGCTGTGGGCTTCAGAAGTCGATTCGCATCACCCCAGAGGACCAGAAAATGTGAAACGCTTGTGGAGGCTGCTCTGGCCTTGCCGGCTTCTACGCTAGATGCCAGCAGAAACCCTTCCAGGGGTGACTCAGGAAACTGTGCCCCGACATTACCAACACCCCTGGGACGGGCACTGCCCCGGGAGCGGAGGGCGAGACCTGCCCTGGGGCTCCGTCTGCCGGAGTCTGCCCCCAAAACGTCACCATCTGCTTCTTCGTGTTTTGCTCCAGCCTTTGAGTAATCGGCGCTCTGGGAAGGTGTTGCCCGGGGTTCCTTGGCACGAGAGGCAACGCCGTGGCCGACGGTGTGTGACCATAGCTGGCGCGGCGTATTGGACGGGGTGCCGAGGCTGAGCCGGCCGCAGGCAGGCCGGGGCGGAGGGCCGAGCGGCCTGGCCCTGGGAACCGGCACGATGCCCTGAGAGCTCCACGCGGCCGTGCGCCTGGCGCTGACCAGCCCCTCCCCCTTTCTGCAGGGACTACTTTATCACCTGCCCGGTGATCGACATGGCCAGGCACTGGGCACGCGGGGCCAGAGGAAACGTCTTTCTGTACCACGCCCCGGAGAGCTACGGCCATGGCAGGTAAGGCGCCGGGCAGGCGGGTGCCCTTGGCACGCGAAGGGGCGTGGCCGGGCCCCTCCCGTCTGAGGCCTGCGGGAGGCAGACATGGTGGGGGTCCAGGTGCAGGCCCCGCCCCGACTGGTCAGGGCCTTGCCTCCCCGCGCCTCCTTTACCAACGTTGCAACAGGTGTGGAGGCGGCAGCGGCTGGGTCTCCTGGAGTGGGCGGGCCAGGCCTGAGGGACCTGCTGGGCTCCCTGGTAACCCTGCCCGAGGTGCTGACATCTGACCAGGCGCTTCACGCGAGGAAACGGCTTTCCAAAGTGGACAGGGGTTTTCTTGGCGGCAACAAAGGGAAACATTCACCCCCACACCCCCATTCGTTTACCAGTCTTCTTTCCCAGAATAAGGCACTTCAGCATACCGTAGAGTCAAAATCCCGAGCAATAAAGTGGCCACAATGGAACGGGCAGTAACAGAAAGCCCACAGTAAGGGAAGAGGAGCAGGCTGTGCCTTGAAGTCAAAAGAATGACCTGAAATGGGCGGGGTCCCGGGCCCCTCCAGCTGAACTCTGGCAGCAGAGCGGCTGCGGCCCCAGCCCCGCCAGAGCAGGGTGCCAGCTGCATCTCCCAAAGACAGAGCGGGAGGTTCATTGCAGCCCGGGTGGAAGCCAGGTGCGTAGTGCACAGCCTGCACTGATTTGGGGGCTGCAGGGAGGCGGGGGTTCAGGGCGCTAACTACCCCCCCGCAGTCCAGCCACCACTCGCGAGTCTGGGGCTGGGCTCTTCCCCCTGCGTTAAGGGAAGTCTTGCCAACTTTCTGCTGTACCGAGCAACATCCAGAGAGCAGCTGGAGAGCGGCCACCTGAAGATGCCAGGTCCCACGCCCTGGAACCTGTACATTACGTAGGTGCAGTGGTGACATTTCAGATGGGGTTTTAAGTGCCCTAGATTACTCCGGCAAGCCCAAAATGCAACCATGAGTGTCAGCAGTGGGAGGTTGGACACACAGGGAAGAGGAGAAGGAATGATCGAGTGTGAGTGCAGACAGCTGCCAGCCTGGAGCCCCCGAGCTGGAGGGCAAGGAGGCGCCTCCCCCCAGGATCTCCACAGGAGCACAGCTCTGCTCCCCTTGACTTGCACTCAGTGAGACTGTGGACTCCTGGCTTCTGGGAGTGGTGAGAGTGTAGGTTTCAGTTGTTTACGCCTCCATGTTTGGGCCGTTTGTTACAGCAACCACGAGAAACAAATACATGCCCCAGATAGTCCAGTTTCCCAAGCACCTGCTATTTACCTGGCTTTCCCCACTCCGTTACTCAGTTTATACAGCACCTCATAAAGATGCCCACAGCCCCCTGACCTTGGCAGGGCTGCATGGTCATCCCCATTTTCAGATGAAGCATGTCTTTAGCAGCCTTGACAGATGGGCCTTGCACAAGGATTTGTAGTGGGTAGTTACAGAACCAGGACTGACCCTCACTTCTCTAAGCCAGCGCTCTCTTTCCACCCAAACAGGTGGCTTTTTTGCTCAGAACTGTTCGTAATTTTAACCTGTTCCAAGCCACTGGCTCCAGGTCATGGGAAGGAGAGTGAATGTCAGGCCGGGGTTTGGGAGAAAAGGCATTCAGGTGTGATGAAGATTCCGTGGTTTGGACAGAATTGAAAGAAGCCCTGGGATTCCGTGTTCAGCCGCCTCAAACTGGGTGGCCAAGTGCGGGAAGGCATTGGCAGAATAAGCCTTGCCAGCCTCTCCCAAATGCCAGAGATCTGGGAATTCCAGAGAGTGGATTCCTACCTCCTTCTCTGCCAGCCTCTCTCTGAAGGCAGCAGCTGTAGCTGAGGTTATGACGCCCTGCAGTGAGCTCATCAACGCCCAGAGTGCATATTCACTCTGCCCCCCACCTGCATAGGGACACAAAAAATGGGGAATGTATCTACTACACGGGAACCCAATGGAGGAAAATGAGAGCACGGATCCATAGGATGCCAGGCAGGGTGCCCCTGCCCCACCATGTAGATGTCCTAGGACCATAACGTGGTACCACGAACTGGTGGTTTACGTCAACAGAAATGTCTTTCCTCAGACTTCTGGAGGCTGGGCGTCCACAATCAATGAGCTTATGTCAGAGGTCACTATGAGAATTGAGTTGTGTCCCAAAGGTGCCTGGCACAGAGCGGTGTACCAAGTGTCCTGTTATTATTGTCCATTCAGACGTGTTCTGGACATCACCCTGGCTGTGAGTCTCGCTCCCCGCCAAGATCAGATGGTCACACCATCTCTGTAGTGGGGACACCTATCAATGAATGGCTCGCAGAGACTAACCCATTTCATTGTTGGCAAGTTTATCTTTTCTGCCTGGAAAGACGTCTCTCTCTCTGCCCTGGAGCGCTCACACCTGCCATCTATTTCTGGCTCAAATCTGCAGGCTTAAAATATATGCGTGTGCGTTACATTTTCAGCCATCTGTCTCGTGCCTCATCTCTGGTGGCATCGACTAGCTTGCCTGGCATAGCTAGCAAGCAAAACGGTCCATTACCACTTTCTTAGACTTGTGAATTGTTCACAGTATAGCATGGTTTACTAACTGCTCACCTGGATAATTGAGGAGCTTTTTATCCCTGCACCATGGCCAATGTCCCCACGAGGAAGGACTGGATGCAAGGGTCGGGAGAAGACAAAGAAACTGAAATCTACTGTGTGAGAGGAAGGTTCAGGTTTAAGACGGACTCCAAGAATTTGAACACGGAAGATGATTTTGTCCAACATTTTCATTTTACAGATAGTGAAACAAAAGCCCAGAGAGGAGAGAGATTGTATTTCAGTGTCAGAGCCAGTAAATGGCGATCTGGACCCAAATCCTGTCTCCTGCTCTCCCCAGTATTCTTCCATTGTACCCACTTCAGAACAAAGCCTCGAGAGTGTATGTCAGTTCTCGCACTGGCTGTGTGACTTTGGACGCTGCCTAACCTCTCTCTACACACCTGTCCCATAGTGGTGCTGCAAGGGATGAAGGAGACAATGTTTGTGCCTAGATGTGTGTGTGTGTGCTGGTGTGTGCGCACACACATGCACAATACCCGGTAGTTTGGCTTTCCAGGGCTTTTGATATGAGAACAAAACTCCCAGATCCTTTGCCGAGCTCTGTCCACTTGGGAAGTTTCCGGCTAGGCCCCTCCCTGCTTCAGCCGTAGAGTCCTAGGGTGTCATTCCCACATCTGGATGGTACTGCAGATGTTTCAGAGAGATGGAATTGACTTATTTTTGAGTGGACTGGGGGCGTGGACTCTGGGGTTAAGCCGGCTCCATACAGGATATTGGACCATTTTGTAACTCGGGGGGAAGCTCGAAGGAGTGGAAAAGGTCCTTTGAGATCGACTTAAAGAGGTTTTACTTCTGTCTCTTCCACTTAAGAGCTGTGTGCATTTGAACAGGTATTTTTGCCTCAACTTCCTCACCAGTAAATGGGTAGTTCCATCTTTTTAAAGTCCATTAGACAAGTATGCATTGCACATGGTCAATTACCAGATTACTTTTCCCTTTAGAGAAAATATGACTAAGGAGAAAAATATTTCAAAATGATTAAAGAGGCAGTAATATTCTTTCTTTATAAGTTGTCCCCACACTGGAAAACAAAGCTATAAATTCTAGACTCTAGACATTTTATGTGCCACTGTCTTTATATTGTAGACATTTCAAATGATCCAGGGGCCTTTAATAGGCCATGCTAGAAATATTATTTTTCCAGCTGACTATCTTGGTGATTTCAGAAAACCGAGGAATTTCGAGCAGTCAGATTCTTGAATTGGGTCCATCAGCCTGGCTCCATGCTGTGTGATGAATGAGGTTATTACCAGTAAGGAAGGAAGTAAATCATTTCAGAAACTGACCCCTCCAGCCATCCGGTGTTTGAGGGCTGGTGCTCTGTGTCCTGTCAGTGTGATTCAACTAGTATTCACCTGCTGCCTGGATGCCCCAGCTACTCTTCTGGACCCTGAAGTGGAGCGGCCGTGAAGACAGAAGAGCTGCCCTCTGAAACTAACACTTGTCAGTGGTGGGGCCGATGCGTGTCCAGAGATGGAGCCCAGGACCAGATACTGCACACATTAATAAGCAGAGTAAGCCCTAGAGGTGCCCTAGGAAGGAGGAAGGTGAAGGACTTGGCACGTGTGAGGATAAAGAAGGAATCCATCGAAAAGGAAAGTGATTGGAGATACGGAGAAGAATGGCAGGACCCTGTAGTTCACACAGGAGTTCGTAACCCATAGGCAGGGGCAGGTTCCGCCTGAGTCTGATGGGAAAACCTTGGAGCTTGTTGGAAGTGCAGCATCTTACACACGTGAAACACAGGTCATCGGAACCCACGTTTCACAAAATAGCCTGTGGAATAGAAAGCCCACTCTCGTGTGACGATCAGTGAGTTAATCAGGAGTCTGCGAAAGTGGGAACTGGTGAGAAATGAGTACGAGAGGGTAGAACTAAAACGTCCTTAGTTTGGGAGCACAGCTCAGCCTTCCCTCGGCGCATGCCAGAGGCCTGAGCTGCACCACGCGGTGGGACTCACCCTTTGACTTTCCTGCAAAACCATAAATAGAATGCATGGCCTATGATTTCAGCTTTTGGTTTCCTGAAAATAGGACCTCCATGGGACATGTAATGGATTTAATGAAGCTATAGAGTTTCAGTGACAAATACAGCTGGCATCAAGGAGAGGAGGCTGGTTGGTTCTTGGTAAACACATAACTTCCTGGAGAGAATAGATGCTTTGGGCCTCTTCTGAGCCCCAGTGGCCATTGGTTTCTGGAGCGAATAAAATGTTCAAGTTCATCCAGGAGGCCAGTCAAAAGCTTGCCTGTGCTGTGAAACCATCCCTGCCACACGCCCCTGACAAGGATTTCGTGTGGCGTGGAGGATGAGAGTCCATTATTTCAAGTAAATTGAAGAGCTCAGTTTAAAGGACGGCGTAGCAAATCCTTTTGTAAAACACCAGCCGTTCATAAAGCGTGTAATTACTTCTTGATTCATTCGTAGGCGTATTTGCACTTGAGCGTACTCAGTTTGTGCAAAGAGAAGCACACGGACAGAGTTCAGTTTGTAAGTTATTTAGCGATCCCTCAAATCCTCAAAGAAAGATCAAAATAAAATAAAGCCTGGGAAGAAAATGGACCTTCACCCCTCCTCATTCCCTCATTTCCTTCAGAGGAAGTTATCCAGAGATGCTGACTGGAGATACGAAAGGGAGTGTCTCACGTGGGGAGGGGTCAACCGACTTCCTCCTGCAGACAGAACAGGGAGAGGGTCCCCGGAACAACAGGCTCTCCAGTCAGTCCGTCAGGGGCTGCAGCATGGGTCTGCGTGTGGCCAGTGCCCGCCCCCCCACGACTACCCGTGGGAGAACAGCCTCCTCCATGCAAAGACGTGACTTGTCTATGTCTGGAAAAGTAACAGCACACCGTCCCCTCGTGTCCAGCTCAGCCCCCCTTCTCAGCTCAGGTCATGTCAGCGGGTCCCAGGATCAACACGTTCCTCCTGTCACTGCGCACCCCAGTCACCCCAGACGACCAGTCACTGCCCTCCCCCGGGGCAGACCTCCGCTTGAGAGTCGGTGCAGCGAATAACCTCTGCAGTGCGGCCTTCGGCTTGCGACTCACTGGAACACAGGCTAACCCTCCCTGCACCCCCAGCCAGCAGCAGGGGGAAGGCGAAGGAGGGCTGAGGGTCAGATGGAGGTGCAGCGTGTTGCCTAGAAGCGGTGTCTGCCTGCCCTGGGTGCGGGCCGTGACCGCTAAGTGTGCGCTCGGCTCTCGTCCCTCAGCAGCCCAGCAGCGTGGCCCGTGACGTCTGGCTCAGAAACCACGAGCGCCCCGGCCCCTTTCCTGCGTGGCTCTAGCCACAGGCCCGGCCCCTCCCAAGGACCCTGGCCTGGCCAGCCTGCCAGCCAGTGGCACCCCGGTGCATTTTTCCTGTACCAGGAATAGCTGCAGCCTGGCTTCTCGGCGCAAGGCGCTTCTCGGCACAGACCATGTGGCCTGGCCCCTGGGGTCTCAGCTGCCCTGTGGGTCCCCACCCTGCCCCTCCCTCTGCCCAGCCACACCTCCCCCTCCTGCTGCCTGGACCCAGCCCAGAATCCCCAGCTGACTTCACGCCCACGGGGGTCGGGCTCGCCCCTCTTCCTGCCTCACCAGCTCCTGGCCCCTGCCTCCCCTTCCATGCCAGCCTCATTCCCTGTCTCTGCCCCCACAAACTCCTCTCCGTCGCCTCGCCTGAAACACATCCATCTCTTTTTTCCCTCTTCTTATGAGGCTTTGCAAATAACTGTCATTTTATGTCTGCCTTTCTTCCTCGTATCCATCCAACCCCCGCCCGTCACCTGTCTGCCCGCCCATCATCCGCTACCTAACAGCTCACAACATCCACTCTTCAAGTCCACCGACCTATCTGCCTTTTCTCTCCGTCTGTGAGCCCCAGGACAGAACAGCTGACTTAGTGTTCCTTTACCCCGCACTAGTCAGCACACAGCCCTCAGCAGGTGCTCAGCAAAGGCGGCCCGAGGTGGCCCGAGGACGTTCCTGTCCTGACAGGCTTTTTGGCCCGGTTCTCACTCCATTCACAACCTGAAACTGAAACTCAGACAGTCCACCTGGGCGGAGCGGTCTGCTCCCACGCTGCAGCAGAGGTGACATTGCCACCAGCAGGGACAGTCACCACCCGTTAGGGGAGCTTCCTGCCGCCGTCAACCTGGGAGCAGCCAGCGATCCCACAACCCCAGAGGCCAGAAGGGTGGTGAGACGCACTTACGGAGAGAACCAAGGCGCAGAGTGAGCTGTGGACGTGGCGCATGAAGGGGCTCAGCCGGCCAGGGGCACAGGGACACGAGGCCTCCAGACCTGACCTGGGCCCAGGACGAGCACACGGGGAGGCGTGACTGAGTGGCGCTTTGAAAGACAGCCCATGGCCCCAGAGCTAACAAGACCAGCACGAGAGAACTGTCCATCCGCCACGGCTTGGGCCGACGATTCATCAGTGAGCAGACCCAACACAGAGCAGAGAAGCCGGACCCGCCTGTCAAACACCGTGGTCTCAGCTAGCCTGCCTCTTACCTCTCAGACTCCGGGGTGTCCTTCCATCTCGCTCTGCTGCGGCCGAATCCACATCCCCTCTTCTTCCTCCAGGGCGCTGAGCCAGGGCCCAGGCTTGGCGGGTTTGAGCCTCTAATCCCAGAATGCCCTCTCCCAAGGCCCCCACTGCCTGCCCCTCCTCCAGATGTCTGCCTCCGACTGCTGGAAATAGCTCCAGCATCGTGATAAGCATCAGCCCTGTGAAGGAAAAAACAAAGCAGACATCCATAGACACAACAGGCTCTCATTTTAAACAAATTGGTTGGGCTGGATTCCAGGCCTTTCCCCCAAAGCAATGCTCCCCTAACCTTCTGGGGACACAGACTGTGAGGGATTGAAGCCAGCTGACATCAGCCCGTAAGAGCTGATGGTGCACATTTTCCCCTGCTCTGCATTTTATGAGTGTCTTGGAAGGCCTGCAGCGGGGGCATTTACACCATGGAAATTGGCAAAAGCCAACTGTTACACGCTTACCAGGCAAACCAGTGCACGGGTCTGATTGAGAAATTCTGGAAGCTGGAAGCCTCTCCTGGGAAAGAGTCACATGCACAGCCCATGCCAGCTTCTGCCGCCCAGACTCAACACAAGACTAGTGAGGACGTGGGGGGAGGACGCCACAGCTGGGCGGGGAGCGGCACAGCCAGGCCTCAGAATCCCAGACCAGGCCGGGCCCTGGCGTCTCACTTGAAGGTTATGGGGTCTTGGCAAGAAGGCTCCGAGAGCCTCGGTGCCGTCCAGCGCAGAAAGCCCACGAGTCGCAGCAGCGAGGCCCTTCCCAGGCCCCCGGGAGGGGAGGAGGGTGTGGCTGAATAATCGCGTGTGTGTGGACGAGAGGACTGACCGGTGCTGCCTTCTCTACACCTCTGCTCCCTGACAACTTTTTGGCTTCCTTTTTCCTTTGTGGATCTGAAATTTTCACTAGGAGGTTGGATGCTTCGTGGGGCTGGTGAGCCTCAGCCGCCTGCCCAGGCAGAGAAGCAGGGATGGGGGCAGGGCTGGGCTCAGCTTTGAGTCCTGGCTCTCTCGGGTCTGGAAGAGGTCTGCCCGTCGCCTGGAAGGCAAGAAGGTGGTGATGCTGGCTTTGTCCCGGGCCTGGGCTGTCAAGGTCACCCGGCGGGGCACGTCCTGGGTGCTCAGGACACAGTCGGTGTCAGCGTCGTCACTGCTGAGCTGCTGCTAAACAGCCAGTCACACAGAGAGCAGCTGGGGGGGCCAGGGGTTCCGAGACTTTATCTGGGGCTTTGTAATGGAGCGGAATTGAGTAATTGATGGGTTGGTTGGCTGATTGACTGCCAGTGTGGTGTGTTTATTCTTAGTCTTCAGCCTGACTGTTAGCAAGACCCCACCCAAAGTCATATGAGCAGTGTTTCTGGCGTGACGAGCGCCCTCCCTGGAACTTTGGCTGTGACTGAATCTACTAGAAGATGCGGTTTGAGCCAGCCCTCCCCTAGACAGAGATGCTGCTGTCAGGCGTGACAGAGGTGACCTCCCAGACACCAGGGGCACAGGCCAGACCCGCCTTTGGGAATGCCAAGTGCTCGCACAGCTGGGAAGTCCTGTCCAGCTCTCCCACTCGCTCCTGGCCTGGGGCTCGCCCCTCTGTGTCCTGCACCTGGGCTGGTCTCCCAGTGCCAGTTCCAGCCCAGCCTGTTCAGACCGCTCACCTGGCTTCCAGGTGCCCACCCCCAGCTTCCTGCTTCTTAGATGTGCAGTTCAGCCGTAGCACGTTCTGATTCACAGCAGTTACATGCCAGGCTCTGTCCTAGAGCCGGCAGCAGGGATCATTGTCGCCTTTGCAGATTCGCAAGTGTACAGCTACTCACGGGCAGGCTTGCATAGAGCAGAGGCTCAAAGCGCCGCTGGGCCTTTGGAACAAGCGATTGCTGTCCTAAGTGACGTGGGCCGTGCAGGGTCAAAAGAACATTCTCGCTGGAAACTGTGCACAGGTGTCTCGAGAGAGTTAAATGCTCGGCCCTGGGTCTGCTGCTCACCATGCCCTGACCATGGCCTGGGTCTGGCCGCCAGCACCACTAGATGAAAAACCCAGCCAGAGCTCAGCTAAACGACGCCCTCCCCAGGACCCCTCGGCATAAGCAAAGAGAAAAGTCTTCACTGAGGACAGAGCTGGTTTGGGCGGGGCTGGGTTTCCAGTTGATCATCCTGTGACTCTTGCTGCTGCTTCCCCCCCGTGTTTCCGCAGCCTGGACTTGCTGACTGATGTGCAGTTTGCCTTTGGCCTTCCGCTGCAGCCTGCCTACGAGGGACGATTTACCCCAGAGGAGAAGAGCTTGTCCCTCAAATTCATGCAGTTCTTCTCCAACTTCGTCCGGTCGGGGTGAGTGCACAGTGTGTGAGGCCGGCCCTGTGCCCCCACCCTCGCTCCGCATGGGGAGACCCCCCTTTCCCCCAGGATAGGGGTCCTCTCCTCTTTCCTCCCTCAGTTTCCTTCTGCCAGCCAAAACTATCTTTGGTGTCAAATGTTCCAACTATTCCACCGCCTTGTTCAGCCACATTGGTGGCTCTGGCTGGGGTTTCTCAGCCTCAGCCTGACTGACTGCCAGGTAAGTCTATATGGGGGTGGGGGTGGGGGGTTCTGTGTATTGGAGTTGCTCGGTAGCTCTCCAGCCTCTGCTACTAGAAGCCAGTGGCGTTGCAACTACATCCCAGTTGTGAGGCCAAAAGTACCTCAGCCACCGGCTGCTGTCCCTGGGAGGCCAAATCACCTACCCTACGTGGGGAGCCCCTGTCCCCGCAGGCAGAGAGGGTTCAGTCGCTCTGGGCCCTTCATCATCCGCCGGCCCCACACACGCCCGTCTGGCCCGGCCAACGGACTCTTCTCACTTCCCAGTCGGCTCTTCTGCTCCTCTCACCTGCCTCTGCCCACCTCCCTGTCGCTCATTGCAAGACAGGTACTGGCCTCCTGCACCATAGTGGGGCCCCTGGAAAAGGGAAAGGTACAGATGTCACAGTTGCACGGGTGCCCCCTGAATAGGCTGAACCCCACACGGAGGGCCACGAGACAAAGCCCCTGTGTGGCAGCTGAACAGAAAGTTGTTTCTGTCCGTTCCCGATGTAAGACTGTTTTGCTGGGGGAAAGGCATTGAAGTTGACCTTGAGGGGTGACTAGGGTATTCAGGCCTTGCAGGAGAGGGCAGGCATCGGGGCCGGGGGTGAGCCAAGCCTCCCTGGGTGGGAGCATGGCAGGATGGCACACACCTCGCTTGGCGGGCGCCACAGGCCGGAGGCAGGTGGCACGGCACGGTGGGGTGGGCGGTGGCGAAAGGAGAAACCTGGCCCAAGAGGTGACACACCACTTCGGCAGGCGGCTGGAGGTTGCCAGCTGTGCCCAGGCCTTGGACAAACCCTTCTGGGGTTTGCCCACGGAGTAGAGAGGGCCACGGTCGCGGCACCGGCCACGGGCGACGTCTCTCCTCTACCGGGTGAGGGGCTGCACCCTTGCTCGCTAGTGATTTGCAACACAGGGCGGAGAACACAGCCCGCAGTGAGACCCAGCGGGGTCAGGTTGTTTTGACACCCATGGGTGACTGGGTCCCCCGAGGCGAGGGCGTGTGGGAAGCGGCCCCTGCCAGGAAAGGAAAGACAGGTTCCCGCATGGATGCTTCTTTCTTCCCATTTCCCCAGAAACCCCAACTATCCTCACGAGTTCTCCAGGAAGGCTCCTGAATTTGCGGCCCCCTGGCCTGACTTTGTCCCTTCTGCCCATGGAGAGGGCTACAAGGAGCTGAGCACCCTGCTCCCCAACCGGCAGGGCCTGAAGAAGGCCGACTGCTCCTTCTGGTCCAAGTACATCCGGTCTCTGAAGGCGGCGACAGGTAGGGGCCGGGGCAGGAGGGCGGGAGGCCGCGAGGGGCTGGCGGTCATCCGGCTGGACGGCTGCACTGGGCTCTCTGGGCCTCCTAGGCAGGGCCTGGGAGCCGGACACGGCCCTGCAAGAGGAGCGCTCCATCCTGGGGGCTCATCACCAGGGTCACTGTGCTTAGGGGGAGCAGGAGGAGAAACAGGAGTGAGAGAGGGATGCAGAGAGGGATACAGTGACCAGGGCTGGAAGGGCCATGGGGAGATGGTCTTGGGGGCGAGCCACGAACATGGGTGTGGTCGGAGAAGTCAGGCTCGACCTTCTCACTGCCCTCAGGAGAGACGCTTGGAGCTGGGTCTGGTTCCTCTGCCAGGGAGGAACGGGGCCTTCCCACGTCTGTGTGGTGAAGAACTTTGTGTTGAATTGATGTTGGCGAGGGATAATGAATCACAATCAGGTCTGGATATATAGGGAAGCGAACGCCTTTAGGAAGCTTCCAGAAGAGGGAGCATCGGTGAGATAGCGCAGAGAATGCTCTTCACCTTCCCTGGTGCCAATATGAAAGGCTGCACCCGAGCTGGTGGGAACAGAAAGGAAGGGCTCGCTGCTCCCCAGAGCATCTGGGGGGGCGTGGGGGAGGAGTGATGCCAGGACTCGGGTTCTCAGCATGGCAGAGGCTCTACCTGCAGGAGGGACAAGAGAGGAGCGTGCAGCCTGGAAGAGCCCTTGTCTGGCAGGTATTTCACTTCCAAGGCCAAGTGGGTCTTGATGAACTCAGGTCCTGTGCACCCTTAGCGTGGCCCCTCAGCTGGGGGAATCTGGTGCCCAGGCCCCTCTCTGGGGACTAGCAGGGAGTACTCATCAGAGGCTCGAGTCTCCTGGGCCCAAAGGGAAGAGATGAGGAAGGAGTGCGGCCTGGGCCAGCCTCGCCCCTGTGTTTCAGTGGAAGCCAAGGACGGGCCATCACCAGCGGCTGAAGAGGAGAGTGGGCCAGCTGACTCTGCGCTGAGCGAAGACCTGGATGCTCCAGAGCCAGGCTCCAAGAGCTACAGCAAGTGACCACCCCAGGCTACCACCGCGGGTACCTGATTCTCTAAAACAGCCACTAACTTTCAATAAAGCATCTACATGCAGTAAAGTCTTGGCGACTCTTGATTGGCTCGTTCAAGGCAGCCACTGGGGCGTGCCAGATATGTCTTGAACATCTCTGCAGTTGGAGACGCGGCCGCCTCCCGGCAGAGACTCACAGCACATCGCCTGTGCCCCGAGTCCTGGGCTGGGGAGGTGAGGACCTCGCCCTTGAAAAGAAGAAAAGTGCGCAAACAGAGTCCACCTTGATGCGGGCGTTAGGCATCCCCTGAGGGCAGGCCCTGGATGACATGGTCCACCTAAAAATTAGAAAGGATTTCCTGTGAAGGTCCCAGAATGCAGGCCGGAGCTCCATTTGGGCTGATGCACCTTCCTAGACAAGGAACAGTGTGGTCTGAATGAAGGTGGAGAGGGCAGAGCTGGCGAGAGCACAGAGCAGAAGCCCATCGGGAACAGAATGGACAAGACCTGCCTGGAGGCGGCAGGGTGGGTGCAAGGAGATGGAGCCAGTCCCCGGCTTCCGGTGATGTGGGTTCCCAGAGAAGCTCTTATATTTATTATTTACCCTCCTAAGAGACACACTTAAGAAGGCAGATCTTCTCTTTAAACTGTCTCACACGTACACACACTTCACAGCCCCCACATGACATGTCATGAGATGTGTTTGCACATGTATCTCATTTCAGCATAAACCAAACTCAGATGACTCACAGTCAGGACTATCCGCCCCTTTTGAAGATGTCGAGTGTGAGGCTCAGAAAGGCTGATGGTGCTTAAATTCACACAGAAGGAGGTGGAGGACCAGAGACGGCTCAGGCCTTCTGATTTCTCTCTTGTACTTTCTGGCCTTCAGATAGGTCTACAGATAGCTGTAGACCTGTGTCCGGTGTAACCTACTGATAGCTCTGAAAACCCCAAGTAGCCCTGAGCCTTCATTCTAGCCTCAGTCGGTTAGGAGGGCATCGAAGCAGTCAATGAAAGGGCCTAAGCCCCAGGTTACTCCCGGGGCAGACAGCCCCAAGGGCTCAGTAATGTCACTGGGGACAGACTCCTTCCAGCTCCCCTCTTGCTGCTTTCAGCACAGGGACAACGTCTGACTTCACTGACACAAGATGGCT